TACATAAATAAATGATAGATAGATAGATAGATAGATAGATAGACCTATCCTCACTTCTTATAGCACTTAGCTACTCATAAAACATGTCGCATAGGTCTCAAACTGACTTTACCAGGTTTGGTTCACCATTTTATATAAGGGAATAGGAAATGATTCTACCATCTCTTTTTATGCATGTCTAACCAAAAAAAAAAAAAAAACCCACAAACTATGATATTATCTAAAAATCATTTTAAAACTAGAGCACTTTGATAAAATGGCAGGACAAGCAACTTCATACTGAATACTTTAGCTTTGTTTATTTTTCCAACATCTCTATATCCTGCAAAAGACAAGACTCTTACCGTTTCTTTTGGAATCTGCATCTGGCTTGGCTCTGCATTCTAAAAGAATTGAAGAAAAACATAAATACAGACAGACCAAAGCCATCTTCAACACAGAGGGACACAATGCTTTATTTTAAAGAGGATAAGGTTGTTGTCAAAACTATGTATGAAGGATAGTTATGAATTGGCTGACATATGACTGTCTTCCAAAGTCCACCATGTGTAGGCTTAGGCACAGATCTCAGCAGGTTTTCTAAACAAGTTTGCACTTGCTCATTCAGGTGACTCTGAGTTTGTTGTTTGCAGGAAAATGAAGCAAACTGTGTTTCTAATCATGCTATTGTTTATAAATTTGTTTTCCAAGTTTCCCAACCAAATCTAAGTCCTAAGGTACAAGGTTATTTGACAGCTATACAGATACTAACAGTCTGCACCACAGTCTGAACCACAGGGAATACATGTGATTTACTTCCCATATAATATAAACTATGTAGCTAGGTATTTAGTTGATTTTTTTTTTAAGCAGGAGGCAAAAACTGACTAAAAAGTATTCAGACTAGGACCCACAGAATTGAAACACAGACACCCCAAACAGAAGAGTTACATTAATTGAATTTGAAGATTTTGTTTTTTTTTTGGGGGGGGGTCTTTTTTGAGACAGGGTCTCCTTGTAGCCCCAGCTGTCCTGGAACTCACTATGTAGACCAGGCTGTCCTGGAGCTCACAAAGATCCGCCTGCCTCTGCCTCCCAAGTGCTGGGATTAAAGGCGTGCGCCACCACGCCTGGCTGAAGATTATTTTTAAATACCCCTTTTGACTTCATAAAAAAAATTAAAGTCTTAAAGCAGCTGCAATATTCATAACAGACTGACAGCCTACTGGCCCACTCCTTAATGAAAAGCTCACAGGCAATAAATTAACCAAGAGGGGAAGAAAAAGAAAAAAAAAAAGAGGAGCAGACGGGAAAAACAGAAGCCTGGAAGATCCAAGTTGGACCAGAAGAGCCTGCATGACCCCAGGCTGGCACTCACTCCTCTGTGAGACTGCTGAAGAGCAGTGTTCAGCTCAGCAACCCCAGCAAGGCCAACTACCAGTCTCAGATTGCCAGGCAGTTAGAGCTGCCTGCCTGCCTGCCCAGGGGAGGTTTGGTGCTTTGATAAGAGCTCATTTGCAATCGAATAGAGACATCCCAGATTTTGGATCAGGTGGCATCTTAAACACAAAATTGGATAACAGTGGGGGAAATGGGAAACTGAATTTAAATTGAGAAATAATGCATTAAACATTTTTTAACTATGAGGAAGTTTTCATAATTTATTCAAAATCAACCTAAAACACAAGTGTTCACTTCTCACCCTAGCACAGCCTAAACTCACAAAACCATGTAAGACATTTAGGTCTGCATATAACTAAGGGATAGGATATTCATGACCTAAATTTATATCTATTTTAATATTTATATAAATAACTAATGTAAATAGAGACTATATTGACTATGACACATTGTAAGCTAAGAGAATTAGGTCTATATTACTAATTTGGGAACTATACTCCTGAACTTTGTCACTGTCGTTTGTAAAGATTAACTGTTGTTGGATAATAGAAGCTAGCTGAAAAGAGATGTCAAAAGTCAAGTCTGCTTCAGAATATTTAAGATACCACTTGTGCTTGAGCTAAAACAATTTTCTTACCATTTCAAAAGATAAAGATAAGTCTTCCAAATGAGTCATTTTTATATATAAAGGAAACCTAGCAATTTTTTTTTCAGAACTACACATTTACTCCCTATATCTCACTCCCACCAGTACCATCTCAATGGCCCTGTCCAATGTATGTCAGTATAGACTGTAAAGTAGGTGAGAGGCAAATGAATTCATCATTTGTTTTTCCAAATAAGGTAACCTGTGCTGGTAATTGATAACCATGCTTCTTTTTGTATTTTACATCTTTTTATTTTCGTAACAATCGTTTATAAGGTTCACTTTTGACAGGAGGCTACCATGGTTACTTGGCTTCGGGGCATTTACTATGAAAATTTGAAACCCAACAATTTGTCACACATAGGGGAAAAGATGGCAAGATTTCAACTACAGCCTACGGAGTGACAGTTATGAAATAATTGACATCTTGAGTTCAATCAGTGTAGCTGAGGGTGTACAGTGATAAACACTTGACTTCCTTGAAACCATTCCTATAGGCTGCTTATGAAACACTCATCCACTCATTACTGAGGCTAAGACTGAACTATAGTCGAGAATACTTGCACTGGGATAGACCTGCAGAAAGTAAAAACTACAGAAACTCCTTTGGATATGTGTCCATGAATATCCACTAGTGGGTGGCTGGCCCAGATCACTGACTAACGTACATAGAAGTTTTCCATCTGCCCTAAGTTTACATACCAGTTCCCTTGGGTGGAAGGCGTCTTCCTGGCGAATGACCAGAAGGCTTACGGTCCCCTCCATTTTGGTGCTTCTTAACAGGGAAACAACTTCTTCCTGGGACTTGCCTGCTAAATCTACTCCATTGACCTAAAACAAAGAGAAAGTTTTCAGCTAGAATCCTGTGCAGACAGGCAACAGAAGAAAAGCCAGAGATCCAGCAGTCCAGAAACTTGTTACAGAACCACACTCTTTTCAGGCCAAATCTGACCCTGACAAGGAAGCCATGAAGTTTTGGTTGCTTGTAAAAAAAAGTTGACTAGACATGTAGAAGTCAGTAGGAAGTAATAAATCTTTTAGTGTTCACCCATAAACCAGAAGCCACAGCCACCACCTTAACAAGTAGCAAGTCATAAACAGAACTACAGTGTCAAGTCAACATGAAGCTGCCATGTGAGCTGAACACTAAAGGCCTTGCACAACACAGGCTTTGCACAGCAAAATAAAAAAGTGCTGTCCTTATAAGAACATACCAGCAATATTTTAGTATAATGCTTTATGTTTCAATAAAAATTAAGAATATTTTATCCTGAAAGGGCAAACACTAAATAACAAAGAAGAATCACTACAAAATAGTAAAAATTGGGGAAGGGAAACTATTGCACCTCAATTTTTCTCAATGTTGTAAGAGATTTTAAGCAGGCGGTATTTTGGAAGAACATTTTTTTAGAGAATCTCTTTCTTTTATCTCATAGGAACTATGATAGTTACAGAAAGAGATTTTTTTTTTTTTTTTAAAGATATGGTCTGCAGGGCTGGAGGGATGGCTCAGCAGTTAAGAACACTGGTTGTTCTTGCAGAAGACCCAGGTTCGAATCCCAGCACCCACATGGCATCCAACAACTGTCCATAACTCCAGTTCCAGGGGATCTAACAGCCTCTTCTGTGCTCCGCGAGCATTGCACGACACAGGTGCACTTACCTACACGCAGGCAATACACACGTACACATAAAAAAAAAATAAATAAATAAATAAATAAAATATGAAAAAAAAAAAGATACGGTCTGGCTGAAATCACTATAGAGCTCAGGCTGCCCTTGACTCATAATCTACCTGCTTTACCTACTGTGTGCTGGGATTACACGTATGCATTACTACAGCTAGCTCATAAAGTTCCATTTTTAAAGAACTGTGTATTATTCTCTATAGATAAAAAGATGCATTTTATCTAAGACAAATAAATGCATTACTTAATTCTAATGCCAAAAATCTGCTGTAATTAGAATATATTTTGGAACCTATTTTTCTGCTAAAACAATCTCACAGAGCTTCTACTATACTATTCCAGGGCCACAGGAAACACAGACAACAGGTTCAAACAAGATGGAAAGTTTGTGGAAAATAAAGGGTGAGCCGGGTGTGGTGGCGCTCACCTTTAATTCCTGCACTCAGGAGGCAGAGGCATGAGGATCTTTGTGAGTTCAAGGCCAGCCTGGTCTACAAAGTGAGTTCCAGGCTAGCTGGGGCTACAGGGAGACCCTATCTCAAAAAGACCAAAAAAGAAAAATAAATAAATAAAAATAAAGGGCGAAAAAGTTAGACATTTCACACCTTTTTCTGTTTATGATTCTGGGTCTGATTCAGATACTAAGAAAACTTGAGAATTGACTTGGAAATATTATATCACAAATACAGATACTATAACATTAGGTTTGAAAAAAGAAAATCTGAGAACTATAAAGCACTAGACCCTGAGAGGGTACAGAGCATTCCCACTATTCAAAGAAAAAAACAAGTGTTTGGTATATACTGAAAGTAAACCAGAGACATTGATTATCTTCAAGAACAAAAACAGGGAGAAAAAGGAGGAGGCAGACATGCAGGAAAGGGCAGACAACGGCTGTGGCTCAGAATAGTGTTGCATGGCATGCGCAAGGTCCCAGGGTCCATCCCCAGAGCTGACAGAGACAGAGAGAGGCAGAGATACAAACAGAGCCAAGAAGAAGGGGGGAGAGGGAGATAACTTTTTCTCGATTTTTTTTTAATATTTGGGATATTAAAAAATATTTATTTTTTTAAAAAACATTTGGGATGTTCTGTATCATATACACACACAAAAAAAATCAACCAAAAAAGAGTTGTATTTGAGGAGGAAGCATAAAAATTTACTTCATGTTAATTAGTAAAGGTGAAAAACATTAATATTAAAATCGACTTGATGACTTTATATCCATACTCAGGATATGGATATAAAGGATCTGAGTGTAACCAACTGTGAGTAGTAATAACTAGATACACAGAGATTAGAGATGCATGTGCAAACATCTAAGTGTTAGTAGCATTAAAAACGAGTCTTTCTATAGGAAACAGTATATTTTGGAACAAAATAGAGAACTTTTTTAAAAGGTTAACAACTCATTCAATTCTATGTCTTATAGGGTTTATACTGAGTTCAATATTGTACAACTATTTATTCAATCGTGAACCTAAAAATTTAAAGTCACTTTTGAAAAAGATGTATCTTTGCTCTGGAAATTGTTATTGACTATGTTAAAGCTGTAAAGGAATGCTTCTTCTAATCAGGTGGTTAGTAAATAAATTTTAAAAATTCATTTATTATTTTCATTTATTTTTTATTTTGTGTGTATGAGTAATTTTGCCTTCATGTATATAAGTGCACCTATGCCATGCAAAGTCCACAGAGGCCAGAAGAGGACATCAGATCCCCTGGAACTGGAGTTACAAACGGCTGTTAGCTGCCATGTGGGTGCTGGGAGCTGAACCCGGGTCCTCTGCAAGAGCAGCCAGTGTCTTAATCACCGAGCCATCTCTCCAGACCTCTTTATTTTTTGAACTTAGAAGCCAGGAAGACTAGATTCAAGTCTCAACTGAGACTCTTACCAAATAAGATAAGCCATAACCACTATCTTGACCTAAAGCTACTAAGTCTATCTTCCAAAGGCAATAGAGCTTTCTGGATGTAATCTCTTTAATGTAATTTGGGCACATCTTTCCTGCAACAGATTCTATCAGTGTCATCCAAAACATGCAACCACATGTATAGGACAAGGGAAGGAGGAAAGAAAAAAAGCAAAGGAAGCAATGGCTTGGTTCTGCTGTATTTCAAGAAGTCTTTCAGAAAGTTCAATCAGGAAGAATTAATGCTGCAAAGCTACAGAGAAGAGGGAATGTTGGCAAAGTTCACTATCTTTTTATGAGGATTATTATTTTTTAATATTTTCTGTTTTTATTATTTTATGTGTATGAGTGTTATGCCTGAATGTAGGTAAGTGCACCCATGTCGTGCAATGCACGCGTAGGACAGAAGAGGCTGTCAGATCCCCTGGAACTGGAGTTACAGACAGTTGTTAACTGCCATGTGGGTGCTGGGATTTGAACCTGGGTCTTCTGCAAGAACAGTCAGTGTTCTTAACCACTGAGCCATCTCTCCAGGCCCTTTATGATTATTTTTAATTATGTGTTTGCATGTGGGTGTATGTATGTGTGCATGCATCAGAGACCAGAGGGTGCTGGGAAATGCTTCAGCAAGAATAATATGAGATCCTAACCTTTGAGCTACGTCTCCATCTAGCCCTGTGACGTTCACTTTCACAGCAGTGATTGGAGAATACCTAACAAACCACGGTATGTGCCAAGAGAAGGAGACCATGAAGGCCCTTGGCAGGGCTCTCTGGATGGGGTGTGGTTCAGTAGTGTGTAGTGGCTTGATGGTGGAGGACTGGGGCACGGTTCAATGAAGGCGGTACTGGGTGGGGCATGGCTCAGTGATAGAGCACATGTCTAGAATGAGTGTGGACCTCGTTTCATCCTCAGCACCCATGAAAGTTAATGAATAAAAACAAAAATATAGACAATGCTTGCTAAAGAAAAAAACTTAAAAAAAAAAAAACCAAACAGATGACGAGTTCTGTCTGCTTCTCCCTTTTTCTATATGCACACAGTTTCCTGCAAACAGAAATAATGTATATTTTTTCCACATGACCTCACACACCAAAGAAGCAAAACCAAAAGCATCAGAAGGAAATTTCCAAAATCAGTTTTCTTCCTCCTGATGTCGGATGCTGTGTTTCGATTCATGGTCCAGGCTGCCATGCATGTGTTCCTTCCATTAAAACCTACTGCTCGGTTCTGATGTCAGAGTAAGGAGGTTTCCTATGCTGCCACACATTAGCATAAAGCTAACACCATAACATCAGAGGCAAGGCACACTCATAATGACAAAACACGCCCTGACCTCATAATCCAAATGTCTGGGTAACTAAAAATTTATAAATACTCTAGACAGGTCATTTCTCATCAGATAACATAGGGAAATGTAATGTACAATAGTTTTTTGATGCATACTTCTACGAACATACATGATTTCATATTTTATGAAAATGTTTTTTAAAAGGCTTTTGAAAAAAGGAACCTTTCAGGAAACCAGAGACATGGACCTAGAAGCCACTCACCTCTATGAGCCGGTCCCCTGCCTTGAGCCTGCCATCCTGAATGGCAGCACCACGTGGGAGGATGTTTTTCACATAAATGGGAGCTGAACCACCAATGGTCACATCTCGGGAAGTGATGCTGAACCCAAGGCCTTCTGTACCTAAGACAGAAACAGACATGTGTTAAGTGCCACAGTGTACTGTGAACTGTGCATGTGTGCCACAAAGGACTAGATAATATTCTCTACCTCAGCTTTACATTTTAGAACATTCACAGTGACCTATATTTTTTTCTAATGCTTTAAAAGTTGTAGTAAGTCTTCAAACTAGACTAATGATGGGAGGTTTAAGTTGTTTAGCACTCAGAAGTCATTAATCTTTTGGCAGTCTTCTGAAGGAGCAAGTTAACGGTGAAACTTTCTAAAATCAACTCTTTGAGTATGAAATGGACCTAACAGCTCTATTTGAAGAAAAGGAAATAAACATTTGTTAAAATTCTTAAAAATCTCAAAAACAAAGTATTATCACACAATGATACCCAGATCTAAACCACATGAAAGGAAAAGAAAAAAAAGGGAGAGAGGAGAAAACGTGCAGTGAGAACAGTATTTATTTTTAGATGTATGTAATAGACTCCCCCATACCACAAGTATAGCAGCTGACTTGGGGAACATGAAACGTTATTTACCTTAGTCAAGCTCTCTTCTAATTAACAAAGGGTTAATCAGGGAAGCATCCATCTAGGATCAGGGCTAACTACAAGACCCCAGGGTCACCCTATCATGTTTAAAGGCACCAAGATTAATGAGATATCAGTAAATCACTTTCTTGATTTATTATCTTAATTCTTTGGCAGACTTCTTTTTAAATTTTTAATTTATCTTTCGGTGTTTTTATTTATTTTTATTTTATGTGTGTGAGGGTTTTGCCTACATATAGGTAAATGTACCATGTGTGTAATGCCCAGAGAGGCCAGAAGAGGGCATCAGATCCCTTGGAATTAGACTAGAGAATTGTTAGTTGCCATGTGGGTGCTGGGAATTGAATCTAGGTCCTGTGCAAGAGAAGTGAGTGCAAATACAGTCACTGTGAGAAGAATAAAGAGACACACAAAGGTGAAGACTGAAGAGCATGTTAATATGATGCCAGAATAAAACTTGTGTGGAGGCAACCACCTTTAACCCCAGCACTTAGGGAGCAGGGGCAGGCAGATCTCTGTGAGCTTGAGGCCAGCCTGGTCTATACAATGAGTTTCAGGCCAAGCAGAGCTACAGAGTGAGCCTTCTCCCAAAACAAAACAAAAAAAACAAAAAACAAACAAAAAACTGTAATAAAAAATATAACACGAGAGAAAAAACAGAAGCAGGTGGCTAAAATGTGGGTTGAAGTGGAAAGAGCAGAAACAAATGCTCAGCAATATCTGTAACAAAACCTGTCATCAGTAGTCTCAAGATGAGGCAAAACACTCATCTACTCACTATATGAGGTCATGTTTCTGTGCCTAGACTGTTAAGTACTGGCAGTGTCTGTGGGAACCCTTGAGTAGCAGGCTGCCTGTATGAATTCTCCTAATTACTCCTCTGGGGCTGTTCCATGTGTCTGCGCTTTCACAGAACTCTAATGAGTTACAATAACATTTATTAAGAAAGAATTCTAAATTATTCTCTTTTGCAATATTAATTTGTACAAACAACAAAGACGGACTGTTATATGAACCATGATTCTATTAAAATATTAGCAATAACCCCTAAATCTGTAAGCCAGAAGTTCAGGCAATGACCTTTAAAGGGAAGATAAATAGATATCAATTTTCATTTAGCAAAGCCAACAAAACATTTTGCTCTGACTAAAACAGATTACTGACCTTCTCCTTTGACTTTATTAAAAAGCTAATTTCTACAAAAGAGCAGGGTATTTGAGAATACCAGAGTGGTAATAAATATTAAGAAATCATAATTATGGAAGCAAGTGTGTTGAGGCTACTCTGTTCTGCCACCTTGTATGAGAGAGTTCCAAAATTATTTCAGAGTCATTATCCTAGAGTCTTCTCTTTTTAGTACTAAAAGCTGATCCCAGTTTGTAAATTGCTGTCACTCAGAATATGTTTAGGGGCTGGAGAGATGGCTCAGCAGTTAACACCACTAGCTGCTCTTGCAGAAGACCTGGGCTGGGTTCTCAGAACCCACATGGTGACTAACAACCATCAGTATAACTACAGCTCCTGGGAATCTGACACCCTCTTCTGGCCCCTGTGGGCACTGCACACATATTGATGCATTTACACACAAGCAGAGAAAAACTCATATACATAAAATAAAAATAAAGTCTTTAAAAATTAAAAAATATGGCAGTTTAGTTTGAACAGAACTTATATTTAACATGATCACACTATGTTTTTAAGAACGTCTTTAAACATCTGAAATTCTGTAAGAAGTGGTAAAAAAAAGATCTCTTAACTACAAGGAAATCCTTAATTTATTAACAGATCTACATTTAGTGCTAATCAAAGACAATCAGCATCTTCTGCTTATGTATAGTCAATGTGATCTGTTATATAAAGTATCTGTAAGCACTGGCAGCATGCAGAGGCAGCAGGTACTTTGTTGTATATTCTTACTGCTAGTTAACTGAGATCAAGATACATCTTCAGAGCCTTACATCTTTTAGATTACAAAAGGTTAGAGAGATATTTAAAAGAAAACCACTATTTCTAATTTTCCTTTATAGATAAGGATAGACTTGCTAAAGTAGCTTCAATAAACAGAATCACATTTTTCAACATGGCACTGAAGCAAAACTACTAGTTCCCTATTCAAAAAAGAGTAGTTCTTTTAATGGCAAGCAAATTAAACTTCATGAAAAAGTTCACATTATACCACAATTTGTTAAATTGATTGTGCAAAATTACAGCTAATTAAATGAATATCCTTCACTTAGTATAAAGAAGAAACATTATTTATAAACTAACATTAGCAGAACATTGGTCAAGTAAAACAAAACTATCTTTGCTGAGGGAATCTGAGCAAAATTTTTACCTTTCATATAACTCTAACTATGGTGCTTGATATGCTTTTTTGGTTAACAACTGATGCCTGCCACTTGAGTGGAGAAAGAGGCATGAGGACTATCTTTTTCACTTGAGGACAGAAGACAAAGGGCTTCACTGATGAGCCTCAGGGTCCGCCAGGAGTAGAGACACATTGCCATGTCCTGGTCATGCCAACCAAGTGTTCAGAGCTTAAAAACCAGTAATCAGAAGCTGTGGTTCACATAAAGTTCAATGGGAGAACATGCTCTACAACAGAAACAGCATCTAGGAGGTCCACAGCCTTGAAGGCGCCACCACAATGGCAAGGGGAATTGCCTGCATATCAAGATACAAAATGTTCTAGCAAGACTTTGTTACCCATAGCCACAGAATATAGAGAAGTCACTCTGAATGACGCTCCAGCCACTGCTAGGAGTGGTTGAGCTCTGAAAGGTAATTTTTATAATGCCATAAATTTGAAAGGCATGATTCTGAAATACATCAAAATGCTCAGTTGAAGGAATGCATCACAAAGCAAGTCTATCTCATATTTGATGGAATTCCACTGGCCATCTGAAGATCAAGTCTGGACAGTCTGTTTTGGGCAGTGGAGGAGGCCAGCTGGAAAAGTATGTTCCCTGTATGCATGGATCCTTCATCTACAGGGAGGAGGCACATGAACAAATCAAAAGGGTGGGGGAAGACTTATTGATACCCATCACAGTGTCTCAATTCACCTTAAGGGAAACAAAGTCATGAGGTGGAGAAGGGAGAGTAGGAGACAATGCTGGCCTTCTGAGCAACTGTGTGAATGTGACAGTCTCAAATATGATGCTCCTTTCCACATATGCTGGGGATTAGAGAGTCCTCTAGCATCAGACCTCCACTGTTAGTCTCAATCTGGCAGAAAAGCTGAAACCCATTTATTCATTATAAAAAAACGTTACTCCAGGAATACCTGCTGCTGCTTCTTATAAACATAAACTGTAACTTATTCTTTGAACTTTCACATTTTTATTCTCTCTCTCTCTCTCTCTCTCTCTCTCTCTCTCTCTCTCTCTCTCTCTCTCTCTCTCTCTCTCTCTCTCTGTGGATGTGTATGTGTATGTGTATGTGTAGGCCAGAGGCTGGCTTTAAGTGTCTTTCTCAATTGTTCTATGCCTTAATTTTTGAGATAAGGTCTCTTACTGAACTTGGAATGTGTCAATTCAGCTAGACTGGCTGGCCAGGAAGCCTCACTCATCCACTCCCTCCTGCTTCCCCCAGTGTTTGAATTATAGACATGCATAGCCATGCCTGCTTTTATGTGAATGCTAGGGATCTGAACTCAGGTCCTCATGTACATGACACAAACACATTACATCTTTACAGCCCTGCATTTTAATTTCTACTAGGTAGTACAGCTCAGTGTCAGAGAGCTTAACTAGTACACAAAGCCTTGAGTTTTATTCTGAGCACTAAAACACATACAAAGAACAGAACAACAACAACAACAAAATCAGAACAAAAACTCCAATACTCAAGGTGCTTTTCTGGTTAGTTGGCTGATTTTTAAAAGCAATTCTATCTAACAGTACTAAGTATAAGACAATGTGAGGTACCTTTTTTAAGCTGAATGTTGAGTCTCTTGCCTACTTTTTTGGTATTGTACGCACTGCCCACACTAGTACTGAGTACATTCTGCGGAGCGAGAGCTGGGGCCGTGGGGGGCTTGGTGGAGGGGTGAGTGCTATGAGGTAGTCGGGGGTGAATGTCCAGTTGCTCTGCTGGATGGTTCAGTCTGGGTGCTCTAGGCAGTGCATGAGGCCCAGTGCTGGCCATACTCCTGTTGTCCAGGTAGTGGCTGTCAGGGCTGAAGCGGCTGGAGGAGTAGTTGTTCTTCTCGATTTGGGAAAGTTGTTCATACTGCTCTTTATTTGCTGCAGGGACCACGTGGAACCAAATGATGGGAGTACGCATGGCTTGGCGGAACATATGCTGTGCTCTGGGTTTGACAAAGAAGGGAAGATTAGCAAATGAAGACTGGCAGACCAGAAGATATCACGAGCTTGATTAAGTATACTAATTAAGCAGTAAGAACCAACAGACTGTTGGAACCCTTTAGTAATCAAGTTTGCAAGCTCTGATAAAAAGAACAGTTTTCAAAATACAAAATTTCTTATTCTCTCTCTTTAAAAAAAGGCAAACTGTAGACAAAGTACAGCATTCTCAACTGCAAGTCATTAAAAATCATTAAGTACTACACATATAATCTAATTTTAACATTGGTGAAATCAAACATAGCCTTTTTTCTCACATGTATGACCAACCTGCAGCCTATAGGCCACATGCATCTCAGGATAGCGATGAATGCACACATTTGTACATGACATCATATTGAAATGTCAAAGGGTAGACATCTCTGTATAGCATGATCTAATATAACATAAAAAAATCATAAAATATTTTCTTATCAAGGGGCCATTTGAATTTTTACAGAAATGTCTTTTTATAAATATACTTAGGAAAATATATGAGGTGATTAGCTATCACTTAGAGGCAAAACTGGTTCAAGTTTGTGTGCAAAAATCTCACAAACACTAATTCCCACAAAGAGCACCTAACAATGCAGAAACCACCACCTACTCAGCTCTGGGATTCTACATGTTAACCATATTGGAAGCTGCGGGCTCCATGGCCAGGGTGAGGCAGCTCTACCTCATACTGGACCCCCATGTCTCACCCCCCAAATTACAAGTTACATTCACATCTGCCCTGTTTTAGAAATAGATAGCCAAGCTGTAGTTTTTATTTTAATTTAATAAGTGTTTCAGTTAGGATAAAGAAAGCCTAAGAAAGACGTAATGCTATGGTTCAAAGCCTTTCTGATTATTTATACTGATGCTGGAAATTTAAGTCAAAGTGAGCAGTGGCAAATTTCCTGAAGGAGGGAAACCAGCAGCACTGCAATGCTTAAACTGGGCCCAGAACACTGTGGAAAGACCTCGATTGATCAGAGAACATTCTGAAATACAGGCTAATGGGAGAAATTACATTGAGTTTGATTAAATTATTAACAGCTAGATAATGGCATCAAACCTTCTTGCCTGGTACAGTGCTCACAGATGTGTCAGAGCACTTCGGCTGACCACAACCCATCAAGCTCCCCGGGAGGACCCTTGCACCTCCCCGAACACTTACTGCTCAAATCTTCTGTTTCGAAGGTCGCCATCATTAATCCTTACAATGCAATCATTCTCATGGAAAAGATTTTCTTGCTCAGCTTTACCACCTTTCTCCAATCGTTTTACTAATAACCCCAGGGTTCTGGAACATTAAGAATGCAAACAATTACACAGGCGACATTTCCACTACGTGAAATGTTCTAACTCTATGATACATGTCCATGGATGCCAAAGGGATGGGCTAGGGCTGGCTGTTGATATATTTTAAAACATTAAAACAAAAATCACAACAGTCTAAATAATGTATTGAAATGGACCCTTTCAGAAAATATCAGAAATGATTTTCTGACTTATCGATATTATCTTTCTGTTTACAAACTGTTTAAAAATGCTGACATGGAAACTGTCTAGGGTAGACACCACAGTCTGAACTGGGATAAGCCGGTCTTGTAAATGGTTTTGGTGGGTTTCTGATTGAAGCCAGATCGCCCCTGACTTTCTTTTATGGGACAGATGATGAGGAATGCCTACCCCTGCTGGGTTCAGAAAGAGGAGGCTATCCCCTGCCTGTGAATTCAACAGGCCTGATACTCAGAATTTCAATATGTGGTTTCTTCATTAAGTAATTTGTTGCCAGATTTCCATTTGAAGAAAAAATGGGAGAAAGCAAGCAATTCAAAGAATGTCAGTCACCAATTGTCTTCTCTAAGTGTGAACTCAAACTTTAAGAAAAAGTGGAGATGAACTTTGTAGAGGAGGCAAAATAAAAAGCCAAAGTTACTTTCTTTTCTCTAGAAAGCTTGTGTGTGTGTGTGTGTGTGTGTGTGTGTGTGTGTGTTGTATGCATATGCACATGTCCATTTGTGTGTACCTGTGCACCCAAATGCAGGAACACATGGAGGACAAAGGTTGACCTCAATCACTTATCTTTTGAGATACAGTGTCTCACTGAATTTTGAGCTCATCAATTCATTTAGGCTTGCTAAGACCAGGGAGCTCTGAGGGTCTGTTCATCTCTGTCACCAAGTGCTAGGCTAGAGCCACCATGCCAGGCTTTCACATGGGTGCCAGGAATCCAAACTCAGCTCCTCATGCTTGGAGGCAGGCATGTTACTGACTGAACTACCTCCCCAGCTCCTACAACATTAGCTCCTTAACAGAGGAGAGTGATCTGTATGTCCTGAACAAACAGCAAATACTCTGAGGCACAGAAGTGACAGGAGTCATTAACTGGCTCTGACTGCTGTTAATGACTTGTTGGCAAAGATTTTGAATCATGATTTTGTTCAGTCTTATGTGAACTTATCGCAACATTTTGAAAGTTTGTGGGTTTTTTTCATGACATAGGTAAAAGACAAAAACGCATAGATAGTGGAATTTAGAATCTTCATTCCAACAACCATGATTTCCAGTGGGTTCTTGTGTATTTTCCAATAAAATTACAATATGCACTATATTGTATGTGCTTCCCAGCAGAAATGCATAGACAACTTCTTCCAAATGCTGGCAGTGATTGTTGTGGATCTTCTACTACCATTTGTCTCGGTCTCTTGCCCTGTGCAGCCTTATCTCTACTATTCCTTAGTAAAAGGGAAAAGGGGTTTCAGTAAGACACACTCAAACACTCAGCTTAAAGTAAGGTCTGATTAGTGACAACTGGATGAATGGAGAAGTGAGTGTAGCTAAGGTAGCAAGTCTCATAGTTCTGATAAGTGTTTGCAAAGCAGAACAGAAGCAGGCAGAATGCAGGTGCAGGTTTGCTTCATGACGGTATCATTTATGCTAAAGAAATCTTTGAACTAAAATGAACTGAACTTAAGAAACAACCCTGTTTGACTTATTCTTTTTCAGTTAATCTTGATATTTGGGGAGTATTTATAAAATTCGTAGGTTCATTCTGACCCTTGTTAATTACACCGAAGAGGTATTATAGTATAATCAAAGCTACCAGCTTGCAAGATTTAGAGATTGACCAGTTGAGGATCAGTATCAGTTTTAGAGTCTAAAAATGTTAGTGAGAGGTTAAAAAAAGTGTAGGTGATTTCTCATTAATTATTATCACAGATTGGAACTTAATAAATATACAAAAAGAATCTCAACTCAAAAGAATGAAATGTATAAAGTAAGCAATTATCTCAGTCTCTGTTTGGAAGGAAGGGAGTCATATTTGTGGTTAACAACATCTTGTATCCCTATTACTGAGGCTTCTTTACACCTGAAGTTAGAATGGCAGTTAGAGAAATAAAAATTTATTTATATTGATGGATTGACTGATTGATTACAGTGCCTCCTTTTGTGATATAGGGTCTCACAAAGTTCAAACTGGTCCAGAATTCACTCTGTAGCCCAGACAGCCCTTACACTTGCTATCCTCCATCTTCTGAATAGCTGGGATTACAGGCCTGTGCTTCAGACCAGGCTCAAACAAATTATTAAGATACATCAGCCTGCTGTGGTGGTACAGGCCTATAATTCCAAACCCTGGAAAGCTGAGGCAGGAAGCTCTCAAGTTCAAGGTCAGCTTGGGCTATATAGAAGTTTGTAGATAGCTAGGGCTACACAGTAAAGTTTAAACCAGTCTAGGCTATACATTGAGACGCTCAAAAACAAAAATTCCATGAGGTAAACAGAAAAAAACTGCAGTATTTATCGAGGTCTAGGTCAGGAGAAGCAAAGAACAGCGATACATGCTTTGCTTCCAAGAGCTGTATTTTCAGCTGGGCATATTGGCACCTGGCTACAATCCCAGTACTCAGGAGGCTAAAGTTGGGGTATCATGATGTTCATGCTAGCCAGCGGCTACACAGCAAGACCTTAATTCAAAAACAACTTGATTATTTTCGTTTGGAGGTTCAGGGTTTGAGACAGGATCTCCCTGCAGCCCTGGCAAGCCTGGAACTTGTTATGTAGAGCAGGCTGGCCTCAAACTCACAGAAATTCATCTGCATCTGCCTCCCCAGTGCTATGATTAAAGGTGTGTGCCACAGAATTTTTTTTAATAGAGAGATCTAGAATTCTTATGAATGGGAAAAAATTATATAAGGAAATTAAATTAAATCAGTCAGGCTTGGTGGTACACACCTTTAATCCCAGCACTCAGGAGGCAGAGGCAGTGGTGGGTGGATCTCTGTGAGATCAAGGTCAGCCTGGTCTACACAGTGAGTTCAAGGCCAGCTGTGGCTACAGGGAGACCTTGTCTCAAAAAAAAAGGGAAATCAGTTATTAGTGCAACTGAAATATGGACTCCTTGGACCTCTGATCTGGCAAAGCAGTTGTGAAGAGAGAAGCCTGAAAGACCACAGGACAGTGTCACCCAAAGGTGATCCTCACACACCCACATATTTGGTGGCATGCCTATTGAAAAAGCCATCACTAGAATCTAAGAACCCTTCACTTTTGGGGTGGTAGGAGAGAGCGATACAAGTTATCACCATGTAACCCAGGTTTGCCTGAAACTCATAATCCTTCTGCCTCAGCCACCAATGTGCTGTTGTAGGTATGTGCCACCAAGCACAGCTGGCATGATTTCTTTTTAAACATTTTATTGATTTATTTTTATGTGTATGAGTGTTGTCTGCAGGTATGTGAGTACACCCACACTGGGCAATGCCCAAGGAGGTCAGAAGAAGATCCCCTGGAACTGGAGTTATAGATGGTTGTAAGCTGCCATGTGGGTACTAGGAATTGAATCTGGTCCTCTGCAAGAGCCAGTGCTTTAACCAGTGAGCCATGTCTCCAGCCCTATGATTCTTTTTAAAGTACATACATTTAGTTCGTGATAAGAATATACCCTACCAAGACCGAGAGACTGGTTAATTGATCAGTGTTTGATTTAGAAAATAAAGATTTCTCAATATGGTTATATAATTTCTGTGGCAAAAATTCCAATGATTGATGTTTTATATACTTTGAAATATTTTGTCTAAATAGCAAATATATAGATTATATTTCATGAAATTTATTTAGAAATTAACTATTAGTGATAATTTTTCTATATTTGTAAATTGATCCCAAACTATGTATTTGTATTAAGTATTTATGACACTTTAAAATAGTGTGCTTACACACAGGCCTTGAATTTGATACCCAGCATCCAAAAAACCTAACAACAAAAAGTCTATCTGCTAAAAGTGGTGAGGTGCCTGTGGTCCCAGCTACGTGGAAGACTGAGGCAGAAGGGTCCCTTTAACCTTGGAGTACAAAGTCAGTCTGGGCAACAGAGTGAGACATGATTCTACCTACCTTATTAAACTTTAAAAGTAGTAAAACTTAGAAATTCAAACTTTAATTCTACAAGTGATAGTTACAACTTCTTCTAGTAAATAGTTAAGTGGGTTTATGTTCTTCTAGACCATCACAACAGAACAGTGATCCAGAGTAAACACCTGTGATTATGGAATGGTCAGCCTGGTTATCTTTTTTTTTGCGGGGGGGGGGGTCTTTTTGAGACAGGGTCTGTCTCCCTGTAGCCCCAGCTGGCCTGGTCTTTCTGAATTTGTCATTCTACATGGCCAAATGGGTAATCCTAATGTATGATAAACTGTTACAAATCATAAACAGATGGCCAGCCACAGTTACAGGCAGGGCAAAGGAAGCATGTTAACCCAGGCTTCAGCAATCATGTTCCAGTGACAGTCAGGTTAGACATGGGTGACCAGTGTGTCTGTGTAGGAGGAAGATCTGTAACCTGGGGCATCCTGAGGAAGACAACCCTTGGGTCAGGGAACTGGAAATACCCTAAACTAATGTAAAGTCATTAGACGACTTACCCACATTTCTGAAACATTACCTCCAAAAACAAATTGTTGGAAAGGCAAACAATCTGCAACATTTTCCATTAGCTCCAATGGGTGAAAATGATGACAAAAGAAATGAAAGTGAAGGATCAAAAACATCTCCCAAGAAAACAGCCCTGACCACAGTGAGAGGAGAATGGAAAGGTGAGGGAAGGAAGCAGCAGGACCAGGCACTTTCACCATCCAGGGATCAGCTGGGCTCTAGTGGCGCCATATCCACAGTTGCCACTTCTCATGCCAACTGTCATGGGTGGTAAAGTGAAAAGCACATATTAGGTACACACCTCATGAACTCATGCCATCAGCTAGAGTTTGTTCTGAGATGATAAAAAAATAATCTACAGTG